AATATTGGATCAGTCATCCCGATAAGTTGGCACTCTTAACACATGTTTAATTAAGTCTCTTCCACAAGATTGTGCGGTGGGTTTTCTTGCTCAAAAACCTCCCTTATTCGTGCTATGCAGACTTCTGCAGCCACATCCGTCTCCTTGGAGAGCTGGTACAGGCTGAGGAAGCCATGTGGGAGGTCCTTCGCCACTGTCAGACTCACAGGTTGGCCCATGTCTCGAAGCTTCTTGGCAAACATCACGGAGTCGTCCAGCAGGGCATCGAGAGCAGAGGCCTGCGTGGGCAAAAGAGTCAATTCAAATTCTGCTGTGAGTAATAGACTGCAGTTCAACTCACACTGGACTTTATATGAGGAGAAATCAAGTAAGCTAAATGTTAAAAGTGCCTTTTGTATCTAGTACATTTTCTAGAGCATCTCTCCCGTTGAGCCACTGTGTTACTCAGCTACCAATGATCAGTGAGTGCTACATATTGTCTCAAATGACAATCTCGAAGCACCTGTGATTGGACCTCTGGCTGTGGTCAAATTTTCTCCTCATTCCTCTCACAAAACTTTTCTTTTACCCTTTCTAAATGCATCTGAATGTGTTCCATGTGCCTCCCTGTTCTGCAGCCTTTTGAGCCAGCCACAGCAATAAAGTTGCTTTAGAAACACTCTCTTGTTATGTCTTTCTGCTGGAATCATAATCAATGTTTTTCTATTCCATCTATTTTTTTCTGTTCAGGCGAAAGATCTGGAGCTCATCCCAACTGTCATAGGGCAGAGACAGGGTACACAATAGTCTGTCAAAAGACTAACACAATAGCCCTTTTCCAGTAGTACCTACTCAATTCGGCTCAACTCAGTTTTTAGGGTTTTCCATTAAGTGATAGTACTTGGTAACAGGTACTTTTTAAGTACCTGCTCAACCGGGATTCCAAATGAGCGAAGTTAATCTGAAAAGGTGACGTCAATGGACTGCATGCCACTGATTGTCCAATCAATGGCATCACTCAATGAGTCATGAGAGCAACTCCTTCACAAAAAAACAAAACCAGCAGTTCGAAGTCCAGAAAAAAAACGAACACTGTGGCTCATACGTCAGACAAAAAGCCATACACAGAGCAGTAGGTACAGTGGCTTGCAAAAGT